TTCCATCCTAACTTGTTTCGCTTTGTTAAGGCAACAAGTTAAAAAGTATGTACTACAATAAAATATGAATAAACACACTTTGTGTGGGTCTTTTTTATATCATAGGCATTCATTGGTGTTTGTGTGCCTGCTTGCAAGAACTTTGTTTTCTTAAATTGAACAACTGTTTATTGTGTCACATTATGACACACCACAAAAGGGTTTTAGTTTTCCATAACAAAACAGCACTATTTACAAATATGCACAGCACATGTTAGCTCTTTGGTTTTTAACTGTTTTAATTACTGGACATTTTGTCATCAATTTTTTGGACTACATGGATTACGTGGCAATGTGGTTCTGGAACTCACTTCCCAAGGACATCAGACATGCCCCAACTCTGGCAGTCTTTAGGAGGAGCCTGAAAACATGGTTGTTCCAGTGTGCCTTCCCAGAATAAGGAAAACCCTCAGCAATATGCCCTCAAAATGCACTTTACTATTGATTTAAGACTGATTGCGTTCCCTCATCTCTCTTTGAAAACCTATCCCAGTTATATCCTATCTTGTTCATGCCCAGCATTATTTTTTAAAATTTTAAATTATTACATTTGGCCTGGCCATAAGTTTTTAAATGCTGTGTGTTACTGTTTATTGTTTATTGCTTATTTTTTATTTATGTGATTTATATTAATTGTACTGTATTGATTGCTTTTATTAATTGCTTTTGTTTACTGATGTACTGTGGGCTTGGCCTCATGTAAGCCGCACCAAGTCCCTTGGGGAGATGGTAGCGGGGTATAAACAAATTATTATTATTATTATTATTATTATTATTATTATTATTATTCTAAACTATTGCGGTGCAATCCAGTTCATGTTTATGTAGTAGTCTTGCTTATCTTGAATAAAGTTTGCTTTGTGGCTTTAGGAGCCTTGGGTCATCAATTACCTTACAGCTGGAAAAGGAGAAATAAACTTGACTGTATTGTGATTTGCTTTGTAGTTGCTGAACAACTCAGTTTGTGTACGTGTGCCTGCACATGTAAGTGGGGAAGAGAGAAAGAGAGTGTTCTTTAAAATGCATTGCTGATGTCATCTTACTAAGGTGCTCTTTAGACTTATGAGTTGTAAATAATTCTGTTGGTACTGCATGATTCCAGTGCCTACTAGGGTTCTCTGAATCACATTGTAATAAAGAGTAAGGTGCCTTTAGATCTGAGGCTTCCAGCTATCCATTCCTCAGACATCTGTACATCAGGTGCCTTTTGATAATAATAGCTGCTAGAGAGATGGTAGTGTGAGTATAAGCTTAAATAACAGATTTGAGAAGCCACTCCCTTCAAAAATAAGATCTGGACTTCTGCCTCCACCTCCTCCTCTTTCATCTTTTCATCCACCATCGCTGCTTCTTCCTCCTGCTCCTCCTCTTCCTGTTCTAACTCCTTCTCTTCATCTTCTTCATCATCATCATCTTCCTCCTCCTCCTCTTCCTCCTTTCCCTCTTCTTCTACTCTTCCTTCTTTCCCTTTCCTTTTTTATATGGTGTTCATAAATGAGAAGGAGGATCCATCTTCTGGTGTTGGGAGAGGGGGCTAATTGCAGAGCTCTGCTAGCATTATCATTGTCATTACCGCACTTGAAGAAGAGAAGCCCTGCTTCTGAAAGCACCAAATTAGCACAATACGGAGAGGCTTGAATGTCAGGATGTAAAGCCTTGAAAGCAGAGGCAAGACGGAGGGGTGTATTCAACATCAGAACCATCTCCTCCTGCTGAAATCAGCATTCAGGATCGAGCTCAGAAGGTGGAGGAGGGGACTGAGGGAGAGGGAGAAGCATTCAAGAGGCTTCCTCGTCCTCCTCCGCCATGTGTTTTGTGTGTGTGTGTGCATGTGTGTGTTTTTTCCCTCCTCCTTCTTTATTCTCTGGAAATTATAGCCTTTGCTGCACTTTCCTTTGTTTCAAAACAAAAAAGCTTCAAGTGAGGGGAAAAAGTGAGTCAGGGGAGGCAGAATCTTCTTGCATTTGTCCATGGAAACAGCCCAATTTGACAGGGTTTTCTTTTGTTCTTCCTCCTCCTCTCTTCCTCCCCACCCCCGTTCTCCCCATTATCATCTGAGGGTAGCTTCTTTCTTCTCGGTAACAATTGTGAAATTGTATTCCGTTAAAGGCTTGATTCTATAGGACAAGAGGCAGAATCTCACTACCTACTTCACTCAAGCCAGTAAAGTGTGTCTCAAGGTAATATGTTAGGATTCTTAAAACAAAATAAACCAGAAATAGCCATTGGAGGCATTATTATTAATCACCTACATCCCAACCTTCCATGAGGGAGTTCTCACCAGTGACAATGTGCCTAATCCTTCCCTTCAGATACTCACAACTGAAAACAGCTCATTGAAGACACAGATTGGACACAGAGAGTGATTAGCTGAAGCGTACTATTGACTGAGCTTGGTGACTAAATTGAGGTTGAGTGCTAAGTCGCCATTCCCATGTTTTGCTGCAATGTCGAGGCTTGGGGTATTGGTTTGGGCGTTAAAAACAAAAGAAAGAATCCTATTTAATCAGATCAAGGGCCCATCTACTCGAGCATTCCCACAGTGGCCAATGAAAAGATTACAAGCAGGCCATGCATACAATAGCATCCTCCAGGTATGTCCCCAAGCCATTGATATTGAAATGCATGCTGTCTCCAGTATTATGATAATACATAGCTATTGTACCTAGTAGTCATTTTTAGTCTTATCCTTGGAATGATTTACAAACAAAAGACGATGCATCTCTTTCCCCACCTCCTGCCTTTGGTAACCTCTTGCTCCCTCAAGAACCAGCTGTGACTACTATACATCTTTGTGTTTTGCTCTGATGAGCCAAATGCTACTAAACCTGTGAAAGTGTAAGACCAGACATAGCTATTGGGCCATTTAGCAGTCTCTGAAGTGCAGAATAAATATTTATTGAGCATCAAGAAAAAAAAATCCAGTGTTGCATTCATGTAGTGTTGAAAACCTGTCCCAAGGCATTGGCAAGTCTTTATTTTCTGCAATTTCACCTCTCCAGATAGAGAAGACCCTTTTAGAATCTCACCTAACAAGAGGTATAGAGGGACATTGGCTGCTCAAAAAAAATCATGAATATAATTTGTGGGTTCTTTCCTTTGTATTTTCTGTTCTCCCTACTAACTACTGAAATCTTGTAGATCTGAATAGAAGATGACTGGCAGTCTCTGTGTTGCTGTTGTTATTTGCTCATATTAAAATACCATGAATGTATGGCAATATTTTTATTTTATTTTATTTTGATGTAGTAGGTGGGACATAAAAGATTGGTTGGCAGGAAGTGCAGGCTGTGTTATCAAACAGTTTGCGGATATTGAGAAACTGAGTCTGTGCCTGATAAAATTTAAAGCTAAAACCCAAGTTCCCAGTCAAAGGGGTGGACTGTTAAAGAGAAAAGCAAAAAAAGAGAGACAATAAAGGATAAGGTGAAGCAAGTATGAGGGCAAAAAGACACCAGTGTCTGTTTAATAAGGGGTTACTTTGTAATTCATTAAAAGGGGTTTGGAGATAATATATCTTCTGGAGCTGGCGGCTGCTACAAGTCTTCCTAGGTCCTCCTCTGGCAAGCCCTCGGGACATTGGGCTCCTAGTCAGCCAGTTCTGAATCTCCTGTCATTGTCCAAATGAAGCACCCAGTCATAACTCATAGATTTTGCAGGGGGGTGGGGTCTTGGCTCAACAGAAATAGCAGAAATACTCAGAGCTGAAATATACAGATGACTTGATTTGCAAAACCATTCAAGTCTAGACTTATAGTAGTATATGTTCTGGGAGGAAAAATATATAATCCTATATAGTATATTAACAAAATTCTTATCTCTGTGCAAATCCTTACATAGAATTGTACCATTGATGTTGAAGTCAACTGTTTTCACCACTGAAATATGAGAACACATGGGTGATTAATTCCTCCCAGCCAAAGGCTGTTTTCAGTTGTGGCCAAGGTTTTCTCCTTCCTGAGCTTTTTGGAGTGACAAATGGAGCTCTGTAATTGTCCTTGTGTGCCCATATTCTTTGCCACTGCTTAATCTCTGTCTAATTCTGAGAGCTAAAACATCGACAGGTTATAGCTATAGATCACATTGGCTCTAAGGGTACAATTACACTGTAGACTTAATGCAGTTTGGCACCTCTAACTGCCATGGCACAGTGCAATGAAACATGGGATTTTAATGAGACATCACCATTATTTGGCAAATAAGGCTAAAGACCTTGTAAAACTACAATTCCTACAATTCTGTAGTGTGGACTTATGGCATTTAAAGCGTGTTAACATGCATTAATTCTACAGTGTAGATCAGGCACGAGCAAACTTCGGCCCTGAGAGTGTTTTGGACTTCAACTTCCACAATTCCTAACATCTGATAGCTTCTTAGGAATTTTGGGAGTCCCAAACACCTGGAGGGCAGAAGTTTGCCCATGCCTGGTGTAGATGTACCCAAAGTTCTACAGGAACAACCAACCCAAATGTCTATCTCCAATGGCATGGACTCAGAAAACAAACATTTGAATCCTAAGGAATGATATTCTGATCATTTTCTGTTTGTTCTGTTGCCACACTTGGAAAACAGCTGGTGCAGGTCTCCAAAACCACCCCAGTACCATGCTCTGGAGAACCATACCAGTGATATCCCGGCTGCACTGGCAGTCTTTCTATGGTGGGGAGAGTAAAAGGTCACCCATATTCCATAATGGGTCTACTTTATGGAATAGTGAAACAGGTTTATAAGAGAACCTCCTTATGGATTGTATCCAGTGGGTCACAACTTACTATTTCTCGCACTACTGCCTTCATGGGATATGACCCATTGTAGAGTTGGAAGAGAACATACACCCTGGAACGATCTTTTCTACATATCTGATGCATTGATTACATCCAACGCATCAGGCCTAGAAGAAAATTTTCAGTTTGTATCTGGTCTTCATATTTTATATTTGCTCTCTTTGTAAAAATCAACAGGGAATGGGTATGGAAACCCCAGAAACTCACCAGGTTTGCTGGTCTCACCTGGCAATATGAACAAGAATATGCAAGCAAAATCTCCTCCTCCTATGAATTTGGGGATGAACAACCGTAAACCAGATCTCCGAGTGCTGATTCCACCAGGCAGCAAGAACACAATGCCATCTGTGGTAAGGCATTTTCTTCTTTCCCCGTCAAGGTTTAAGATATTCTAGTAGGCACTAAGTCCACCAGTGTAGACTGCTTTATTTATTGAAAAATGTTCTGCTCAAGCAGTATGTTGGTCAAACTTTCTAGAAGTGTGAACAGATTTCATTATAATTTCAGTAATGTAGCAATCAAAGTCTGAACTGACTTAAGGCCATTTTCTGAATTGTTGATGCTTTTTGTCTGTCTGTCTTTCTTTCTTTATACTATTTTTATTTCCACTTGCACTCTACCCATCAATTGCACTGCAGTAACGTGGATGTTTTCTGTGATTTCCTGATTTCCTTTATTACTATCTTGAAAAAGTCTTTCTTAGTCGCTTACTAAATATTTTATTTAATATTGTAAAAGCACAATAGCCCATTACATTTCTACTGCCTTAAGAAATAAAAGAAAGTAGCAAAGCTTTGAAATCTGCCACTTTCAAACCAAGGCAAGCATTTAATAATAATCACAAACTGCAACTATTCTTTATATATAAGCCATATAGAAATGGTAAATTTGATATCACCAGCTTATGTTAACATACATTAACAGAGCTACGATACTGTTCAGCCATCAGAAATGGAAGAGACATGTTAGTATCTTCTAATTCACTCTGGAAGAGTTGTGGAAGGTAAATCTTTCATGAGCAAGGCAGTGTTTCAAAGTAGGGTAGATTTTAAAAGATCCTGACGGTGGATGTAAATGATGCTGGGAATACAGCTCTCCATTATGTTAAAATGGCAAGCAATTTAAACAGTTCCATGTTAACTGCTAACATGGTGCATTATAAATCAACGTTGATACTCAGACTAAAAACCCTAGTCAGTGCAACACTCCCCTCCTGGAGCAAAGAAATAAATACAAGTCTCTCCTGTTCTTCAGGAGACTAAAGACCTAACACTGCCCCTCTATCAAATGATTTGTTTTAGGAGCATTTCATCTTATGGTACTTTTTAAAGGGACATTCTTGGCTGGTTAGGCACGGGGAAAATCAAAAAGTGCTTTCTAATTTTTGTGGCATTGGAGATTGAAAATGAAGTGATTCTGGGCAGGACAAAGACTGGGGCTGAACACTGGTTTAGATGTACAGGTTTGTTCCCAATGGAATAACACTGCAAGCAAAGTTTGGAAAGTTTCTTCCGAAAAGAGCGAATATGCTGAAGCCGTCTGTAATGGAAGATGATGCTTTGCAGCCCAAGAGCACCATCCTGCCACTGGTCAATTCTACTTGATTTCAGGGGTATATTCATTCTTCTTAAACTTTCTAATCTCTTGGCCCATGAGCTGGGAACTGGGTATTTATATAGAACTGCAATGAAATTACTGTGGGTGAGGAATAGGCATGAGAGAATGAGCTTGGCTCTCCTTAGCTGGAAATAAAGCTATGCTTTCTTGAAAAAAAGATGCTGCATGCTTTAGGATGTCTGCTTTTGCTAATCATTCATCCTCCTTTCTCATGCTGTCAGTCTGAGGATGTCGATCTACTTTTGGTAAGTGAGAACGATGCTTATTTTAGCCATGCACAAAGAATTCATTTGCTTCGCCCTCCTCAACTCCAACGGTTGAAATAATGAAAGCTTTTTTCCCTCTACTGTGGAAAGTTTTCTCAAAAATAAGGAAAAATGCCATGCAACTTTCTATCCCTTCCTATCATGCAAGGAATGGATAATGTCAAGGGTATATTATTCAGTACTTTGTTAACAAAAAAGAATATTGTTATTTTCAAAAAATTATCCATTTTTTTTACTTACACTAAGTCTGCTGTACCTTTCTTTATCACAAGTTTAATTTTTACATGCTTCATAGTACCTAATGCTAGGAAAAGAGATGAATTTATTCCTCGGCCTCTGTACTATCCTCCCCGTAGTACTAGACAATTAAAAATGGAAGTAACCACAGCACCATCTTCTGGAGAAAACCCAACATGCTGACTTGCTTGTCTTAAACATAAAAACCCTGATTTTCAGAAGGTCTGTATGTATAAACTGGCTTCTGCATCAGATGTTGGATCCGAAGCTGTGAGCTTCATCTGGAAGCATAGCGATCCATAGGGGCCTATTGCAGCATAGGCACTGCATTGCTTTCAATGGGAAATGTGCAGTATTGCCATCAGACAGATTCAGTAATAAGCTAACAAAAGACGTGCAGATACTTTTTCAACTGTCGCTCCAGCTAAACTAGGATGAAAGTCTCATATTAATAATATGTTGCAGTTAAGTCAAATAATACGTGTTAAATATTATTATCTCCCTAGCGTTCTTGCTACCAGTGTATGTTGGGGGATGGAATCTTATATGTTACTAGTTTGGTTACCTAGGAGATTCTGATGTAATGGGTTACCATGGAGACAACTGGTCTCTTCAAAGATTGTAAATCATGGGATTGGCAGAGTTCATAAAAGCAATATGATAAATGATGGTTTTAATGTGAAATCTGTATATGATTATGCTTTGTATGAACAAAACCAACCCCTCAGTGTGTTTCTATATCAACCGTTTTCCATCTCACCATTAATATGTTTATTTTACTTACTTTGAAAGAATCAGAGGATAAATAACTCTCAGTCTGCTCAGTCATTGGCTACCCCAGTGGTTTCCGTGGCAACTCCGACTTTGCCAGGGCAAGGGATGGGAGGATACCCATCAGCCATTTCGACAACATATGGTACCGGTAAGTCTCCGCTTCAGATGGGGGCTGTGTAGGTTTTGCCCTGGGAGGAAAGCAGACCTTGGGCATATAGCAATAACTTGTTGTGCACTACTACTTTTTTGAGTGCCAGTCAGGCAGAAAATGCAGTTGGCAAATACTTGGAATGAAATTAATAATAAATAAATTGTAACCTGAAGCATAGGAATATAGTCATTTTGGTTGTGCATCCTAGTAAGGAATTGCTTTAAGTGGCTAAAAAGGCACTAAACATGCTCTTGAGGAGCCACTTGTATTTTCAATATGAGAATTTACTACATAGGATGCTGGGTTTAGAATTGGGGACTTTAACCCCGATTGGTGAAGTCTAAGACTTTAACAATTATCGCCCCATCTATACTGCCATATGGACTCATATATTGGGGATCAATGCAGTTAAACTGTATTATATGAGTCTACACTGACAATATAATGCAATTTGAAACTACATTTTATTGCAGTGTAGGTTACGCCAACACCACATTAGGTCTCCATATTCATGAATATATAGAAGCTAGATCAGCAAAGGATCACTCCAGCAAAGGATCACTCCAGCAAAGGATCACCGCCTTGTCGGGGCGCTGGAGCTTGAGCACCTCAATGATGTCATGAGCGAAACCGTGAAGGGACACCCAAGACGGGACGGTTGTGGCAGAGAGGTCAGACCAAGCGTGATCCCTGGGGAAGGCAATGGCAAACCACTCCAGTATCCTTGCCAAGAAAACTAAATGGACCAGTACAACCAGAGATATGTCGGTATGCCATTGGGAGATGGGACTCCCAGGTCGGAAGATGGCCAAAATGCTACTGGGGAGGAGCAGAGGATAAGTTCAACTAGCCCCAGATGTGATGACGCAGCTAGCTCAAAGCCGAAAGGAAGGCTAGCGGCCGACGGTACTGGAGGTGAACGACGAATCCGATGCTCTAAAGATCAACACACCATAGGAACCTGGAAGGTAAGATCTATGAGCCAGGGCAAATTGGATGTTGTTATTGGTGAGATGTCAAGACTAAAGATAGACATTCTGGGGGTCAGCGAACTGAAATGGACTGGAATGGGCCACTTCACATCAGATGACCACCATATCTACTACTGCGGACAAGAGGAACATCGAAGAAATGGAGTAGCCTTCATAATTAATAAGAAATTCGCTAAAGCGGTGCTTGGATACACCCCAAAAAATGACAGAATGATCTCAATTCGAGTGCAAGGAAAGCCTTTCAACATTACAGTGATCCAAATATACGCCCCAACCACAGCTGCTGAAGAAGCAGAAGTAGATCAGTTCTATGAGGATCTGCAGGACCTACTGGATAATACACCAAAAAGAGACATTATTTTCATTACAGGAGACTGGAATGCCAAGGTGGGGAGTCAAATGACAACTGGGATCACAGGCAAGCATGGTCTGGGAGAACAAAATGAAGCGGGACGCAGGCTGATAGAATTTTGCCAGGAAAACTCGCTGTGTATAACGAATACTCTCTTCCAACAACCTAAAAGACGGCTTTACACATGGACCTCACCAGACGGTCAACACCGAAATCAGATTGACTACATCCTTTGCAGCCAAAGGTGGCGGACATCCATCCAGTCGGTGAAAACAAGACCTGGGCTGACTGTAGCTCAGATCACGAACTTCTTATTGCTCAATTTAGAATAAAACTAAAGAGATCAGGGAAAATACACAGACCAGTTAGATATGATCTCACTAACATTCCTGGCGAATATACAGTGGAAGTGAAGAACAGATTTGAAGGACTAGATTTAGTAAACAGAGTCCCAGAAGAACTATGGACAGAAGTCCGAGACATTGTTCAGGAGGCGGCAACAAAGTACGTCCCAAAGAAAAAGAAAACCAAGAAGGCAAAATGGTTGTCTGCTGAAACACTGGAAGTAGCCCAAGAAAGGAGGAAAGCAAAAGGAAACAGGGATAAGGGGAGATATGCCCAGTTAAATGCGCAATTCCAGAGGTTAGCCAGAAGAGATAAGGAACTATTTTTAAATAAGCAATGCATGGAAGTTGAAGAAGACAACAGAATAGGAAGGACAAGAGACCTCTTCCAGAAAATTAGAAACATTGGAGGTAAATTTCAGGCAAAAATTGGTATGATAAGAAACAAAGATGGGAGGGACCTAACAGAAGCTGAAGAGATCAAGAGAAGGTGGCGAGACTATACAGAAGATCTGTATAGGAAGGATAATAATATTGAGGATAGTTTTGACGGTGTGGTGAATGAATTAGAACCAGACATCCTGAGGAGTGAGGTTGAATGGGCCTTAAGAAGCATTGCTAACAACAAGGCAGCAGGAGATGACGGGATCCCAGCTGAACTGTTTAAAATCTTAAAAGATGATGCTGTCAAGGTGATGCATGCCATTTGCCAGCAAATATGGAAAACACAAGAATGGCCATCAGACTGGAAAAAATCAACTTATCCCCATACCAAAAAAGGGAAATGCGAAAGACTGCTCAAACTTCCGTACAGTGGCCCTTATTTCTCATGCCAGTAAGGTAATGCTCAAGATCCTGCAAGGAAGACTCCAGCAAAACATGGAGCGAGAGTTGCCAGATGTTCAAGCTGGGTTTAGAAAAGGTAGAGGAACGAGAGACCAAATTGCCAATATCCGCTGGATAATGGAGAAAGGCAGGGAGTTTCAGAAAAACATCTACTTCTGCTTCATTGACTATTCTAAAGCCTTTGACTGTGTGGGGCATAATAAATTGTGGCAAGTACTTGGTGGGATGGCATACCAAGCCACCTTGTCTCTCTCCTGAGGAATCTGTACAAGGACCAAGTAGCAACAGTAAGAACTGACCATGGAACAACAGAGTGGTTTAAGATTGGGAAAGGCGTACGGCAAGGCTGCATCCTCTCACCCAACCTTTTTAACTTGTATGCAGAACACATCATGCGATGTGCGGGGCTGGATGAATGCAAAGCTGGGGTGAAAATTGCTGGAAGAAACATTAACAACCTCAGATATGCAGATGACACCACTCTGATGGCCGAAAGCGAGGAGGAGCTGAGGAGCCTTCTATTCAAGGTGAAAGAAGAAAGCGCAAAAGCCGGGTTGCAGCTAAACATCAAAAAAACCAAGATTATGGCAACAAGAATGATTGACAACTGGAAAATAGAGGGAGAAACCGTGGAGGCCGTGACAGACTTTGTATTTCTAGGTGCAAAGATTACTGCAGATGCAGACTGTAGCCAGGAGATCAGAAGACGCTTACTTCTTGGGAGGAGAGCAATGTCCAGTCTCGATAAAATAGTAAAGAGTAGAGACATCAGACTGGCAACAAAGATCCGCCTAGTCAAAGCCATGGTATTCCCTGTAGTAACCTACGGATGTGAGAGCTGGACCTTAGGGAAGGCTGAGCGAAGGAAGATAGATGCTTTTGAGCTGTGGTGTTGGAGGAAAGTTCTGAGAGTGCCTTGGACTGCGAGAAGATCCAACCAGTCCATCCTCCAGGAAATAAAGCCCGACTGCTCACTGGAGGGAAGGATACTCAGACAAAGCTGAAGTACTTTGGCCACATCATGAGGAGACAGGAAAGCCTAGAGAAGACAATTATGCCAGGGAAAGTAGAAGGAAAAAGGAAGAGGGGCCGACCAAGGGCAAGATGGATGATGGCATCCTTGAAGTGACTGGACTGACCTTGAAGGAGCTGGGGGTGGTAACGGCCGACAGGGAGCTCTGGCGTGGGCTGGTCCATGAGGTCACGAAGAGTCGGAGACGACTGAACGAATGAACAACAACAAGATCAGCACCTAGATAAACTGGTAGATTTCAGTTGAGTTGAATAGCAGTGATTAGCAATTGTTTAACAGTAATAGCAACAATTAAGTCTCCTCCCTTGACTTTTAAATTGCACTACTAAAAGTCAGAGAAACCAGGGGCCCATTCGCACTAAATAATTATTGTGCTATTATTCCACTTTTAATGCCATCCTGTCAGATCTTGTAGTTTGTAGTTTTGTGAGGCACTGGATCACTCTGGGTGGGATTCTTAAATGTCACAGGATGGAACCATGACCGTTAAAGTGGAATAATAACTCTATAATTCTACAGTGTGAATGGACCACAGGAGTGGATTTTGGTGACTTCTGGTCTCCCAGAGAGCTAGGGTATGTCTTCACTGCAGAATTAATGCAATTTGACTGCAGTTTAACAGTATTTTAATGTATTTAGCTTTCTCTGCCTAAGGAGTGCTGGTGTCTCACCAAACTACAAATCAGAGAATTCCATAGCATTGAGCCATAGCAATTAAAGTGGTGTCAGACTGCATTCATTCTACAATATAGCTGCACAACTAGTCCAATATTCAATCCACTACACCATGCTCTTCAGCTCTGATACTGAAAATAACATGATCAGAAGTTGTGAAGGTAGGGAGTGGAATCCAGAAACCTGAAGTCTGGTTTACAGAACTCCCCAGAAGCCTCATATGGTTGACGTTGTAGGGTCAAGATCAAATCATCCAGCAGAGATGGTGATGGCGGCAGTGGCAGTAGCAGGAGTGTAGAAGCAAAGCTACAGTAGCTTTAGGCACAAGAGTGACAAAAAGGAAGCCAGTGAAAACTGTCTCCACGAGGAGATGAAGTTTCCGAAGATTACTTACAGACTTTCAGCCTTTTTCAGTCATATCAGTTTCAAAATGTATGGAGATGCAAGTTTCCTAAGAATAATATGAACTTTCTAAAGTTGAGAATCCTCCAGGGAATAGCCAATCAGATCTAGCATTTTGTTTGCCATGACAACAAGCTGAATGTGAGCTTTTGAGGGCAGAAGGGAAATTGAATTCTGTGCTAGTGAAGATGCAAAGGTTTCCTAGCCTAGTTTATGGAAGGGTACATATTTCTCTGTATAGCTGTCTCACAGTTTTCTCCTAAATCACTAAATGTCTATTACTTTTTCTTCTTGCATTCAGAATACTCGCTAAGTAGTGCAGATCTGTCATCGCTCTCTGGGTTTAACACAGCCAGTGCTCTCCACCTGGGCTCAGTAACTGGCTGGCAGCAACAACATCTACATAACATGCCACCATCTGCCCTCAGTCAGCTGGGGTAAGTTTGACAATCAGCAGGTGTCATATGCCACCAACTGTTTCATAATACTGATGTGATTGAAACTATAACTAACTCCCCCAAAGCAGCCCCTGTCTTAGCTTATTGGACAGCTGGCTTCCATCAGTCAGGACTCAGTATGCCAAACTACAAATCCCAGAATTCCCCAGGGTAGAGCCATGACAGTTAAATTGGAATCAAACTGCTCATGTTAATATTGTATAGATACAGTCAATCTACTTTCTTAGAGCTCAAGCCTGGGTGCCTCAGTCACTTAGGTCTTCCATTTGACCTCACAGTCAGACTAAAAGAACTTTTAAGGATGATCTGCTTCTCTCCCAACTTTGTTCCTTCATCTCTTTCTCCCCTCCTCCACATTTCCCAGAGTAGTAGATGACAGCTTGTCTTGAGAGATGATGAGGAGAGAAAAACAGTTCTGTCATTGGAGCAGAATGCGCATCTATACTTGCAACTTTTGTGACAGATATGTGATGAACACTCAGATACTTTAAAATGCCAGAATTTTCTATCATTTCAATCTTAAGGCTGCACCTACTGCAAAAGACTTTACAGTAAAGGTTGACTTCCAAAGTTACCACTGATTTAAATGGTTTACTTTAGTTGGGACTAACAATAGTGTTAGACTTTAATGATAGATATTTGCAGAAGGTGGAGAGTTAGAGATAGGGAAAACAGACTAAAGCTCAGACAAAGAACCATCACTCAGTGGAAGAAAATGTCTGTTTTGGATATAAAGTGTCACAGATATATCACTGGCATTTCCAGTTTAAAAAAAGGATGAGTTAGGATCCCCTGGTGGTGCAATGGGTTAAACCCTTGTGCCGGCAGAACTGAAGACTGACAGGTCAGAGGTCTGAATCCAGGGAAAGCGTGGATGAGCTCCCTCTGTCAGCTCCAGCTTCCCATGTGGGGATATGAGAGAAGCCTCCCACAAGGTTGGTAAAACATCAAAACATCTGGCGTCCCCTGGGCAACATTATTAAAGACAGCCAATTCTCTCACACCAGAAGTGACTTGCAGTTTCTCAAGTCGCTCCTGACATGAAAAAAAAGCTAGTAATAGGAGATACCACAGCATAAGATCACGTTATCATCCTTTATATTAGCAACAAGTACTGAACTATGAAGAAGAGAGTGGGGGGGAGGTTGAGAGAGAGAGCATACCCCCCTATTGTTTTTTTAGAACAGTGATTCCTAACCTTTGGTCCTCCAGGTGTTTTGTACTTCAGCTCCCACAATTCCTAACAGCTAGTAAGCTGGCTGGGATTTCTGGGAGTTGAAGTCCAAAACAACTGGAAGACCAAAGGTTAGGAACCACTGTTTTAGAGGGAGGATAGTTACAGTTTCCTCACTTCAGATGTATCTAATAGTTAACAAAAGGAGGTTTCACTCATTCTTTCTTTGCTCCTCTGCTTTTAACCAAAATGTTAGTTCCATTTAAACAGCAACACTTTGCTTATCCAGTTTGTTTTCAAAATTGCTCAGTAGCATAACCATTTGACACAAGAGTAACCCAACGTGACCCATGGTTTGATTAACAGCCATAAGAGATGTGCACATTGTATTTATTGGAAACTTCTTTTTTAATGTCAACTGCACCTTGAAAAAATTGCAAGCAGGCAAAGCTAGGCTTCCATCCTGAGTCAAAGCACATGCTTTCCTGCCCCCTAGTGGAAATTGCAAGAGAGTTCTTCATGAAAGGATAGTCTTTTAAAAATGTTCTGCATGCTGTTAAATTCACACAAAGCCAGCAAAATAATAATAATACTTGTACCCCACCCTATCTTCCTGAGGGAGCAGAACAAAATAGAAGAAGAAAGCAAGGCAAAGTGCTGATTTCATCCATGAACTAAATTTCCGCAGCCACTAAGGTGGAAGATCTGAAGACTTTCCCAAGACTGTGTATATGAGTCTCTTCCTCTTCCTCTTCCTCTTCCTCTTCCTCTTCCTCCTCCTCCTCCTCCTCCTCCTCCTCCTCCTCCTCCTCCTCCTCCTCCTCCTCCTCTTCTTCTTCTCAAGTCTATTTTGGCAGGGCAGGGGAGCTTATTGAGAATTCTCTTAGGATGCCTTGTCTCCAGTGCAAGAATGAGAGATCAAGCACAACTGTGTTGTGTTTTCTTTGATTTGGACAAAATGACTCTACATAGAATTATTATCTTTTTCCTTTGTGTAGCCAAGCATTCTCATAGCAAGCACACTACAACAAGCTGACTGATTACAAAAAATACAAATAACTCATCCAATTCTACTGCTTCGTAACTAAGTTAAAGAATATAACTGTTATTGCAGTTTTAAATGTTGGGCAGGTAGAATAATGCATAAAAATTAATCTCTGGAAGCAAAACAAACCAATTTAGACTCATATAGTCTAAAGGGTCTCTAAGCCAACTTCCACACAGCTGCATAAAATCCACATTGAACTCAATCATATTGCAGTGTGGACTCAGATAATCCAGTTCAAAGCAGATATTTTGTCTTGATATTCTAGGTTATATGGTTATGTGGAAGGGTCCTAAGACATATCTAGTTCAACCTGCCATGCAGGAAAACAAAACTACCATCTAACTTCTGTTTAAAGACCTCCAAAGATAGAGAATCCACCACTTTCCAATATAGTCATGTCCACTGTTGAACAACTGCTACAGTCAATACATTCTTCCAAATGTTTAGATGGAATCTCTTTTGTTGTAATTTGAACTCATTGGTTCTAGTTTCTGGAGCAGCAGAAAACAAGGTTGCTCCATCTTCTACATAATATCTATCTATTCAGGTATTTAAATGTGGTTTTTATGTCACCTCTCAGACTTTTTTTTCTTCTGATTAAATATAACAAGTTCTCCAAGGCCCCTTCTACACTGCCATATAAAATCCAGATTGTCTGATTTGAACTGAATTATATAGAATCATAGAATCATAGAATCAAAGAGTTGGAAGAGGCCTCATGGGCCATCCAGTCCAACCCCCTGCCAAGAAGCAGGAATATTGCATTCAAATCACCCCTGACAGATGGCTATCCAGCCTCTGTTTAAAAGCTTCCAAAGAAAGAGCCTCCATATGGCAGTGTAGACTCATATAATCCAGTCAAAGCAGATCTGATTTGATAATATGGATTATATGGCAGTGTAAAAAGGGTACTTCTCAGTACTTCTCTGAAGGTTTGATTTTCAAAACTCAGTTTAGTCTTGTTCACAGCATGAGGATAAAATGGTGTTGTTTCCAATTATATACTTATAGTGCTTTTATACCTCTTCAACTGTTGCAACTCCACCTTGAGGAATGCTTGGATTTGTAGTTTTCTGAAGTATTAAGAATTGTCTTCAGACAGTTCTTTAATTATAGTTCAGAGGAGTGGGCTAATGAATTTGGGCCATGTTACTGGGCTTTGTATCCCTGGATTCTGTAAGATGAGTTCATGGCAGTAAACGCAGAATCAGATGTTATCAATGTGCAGTATGGATACATCCTCGGTAAGGATTTTCAGCCCTATTTGTATCCTAATTGCTGTTCATAATATCCTTCTGACTTAGTCTAAATATTTTTTGAAAAATCTCAAATGATAGCAAATGCCCACCCCAAGCATCATTAAAATATGCTAATTGTTTTCATTCTCATACTATAAGATGCCATAAGATTGTTTGATTAAGGAATCAAGGGTAATAATTAAAAGCTAAAGTAACAACAACACTTCACAGTTCTGCCACATAGAATCATTCCTTTCCAAATGCAACCATAAAATAGCTGTCATAATTTCAACTAGAAAAAATATGTTCTGAATTATTCTTCAATCATTATTCTAATACTGACAGAAATTAGCACTCTAACTTTAACCTTCAGAAAACAGTTCAGTCGGCGGCACCTCCAGTAAATCTACTTCTTTTTACAACAAAGCTTACCTGGATTTAAACTGTAGCTTGTCAGGACATTTGAAAGATGGGCAGAACTGAATCCTAATTCTTTTAGTTCTGTATCAAGCTATTTTATTTGGTCTGATTGAAACACTGTAGGCAGGAGGAGAGGTTTGTAGGGTGGAATATTTGTTCGTTTTGTGTAGGGATTCACAGAACATTGAATGTCTGCTCTTAACCAATTCAGGATTGCAGCCAAATGATCACTAATATTACCAAAGCATAATAATTAGTCAACTATCACCATTTTTGTTTGGCTATCTACAAACAGGTTTTATTCAGATATCAGATTGTTCTAAATTCACAGACCTTGCCAGGGTTAAGGGAAACATAATCAACAATTCTGCATGGATCAAACTGGAAAAAGAAGTCATAATAAAAGTCAATGAAGATGGCTGTTATTACACATCAATAAGGAGAACTTTTCACTGATCACATATAGCAGGATAGGGGAAAATACATTCCCGTCCTATATTACACCTGTATTACTTCCTATATAGGAAGTGGACCAGCCTAATGCTTATTAAATCATATACATAATATATTTGAAGATACCTTACATAAAGCCATTTTACGGCTTCAAAAATGCATCTATCCTATCTCAATAGTTGCTCCCAGCTAGAGTAGATCAATTGACTCTATTGTGGAAAAGTAATGTAGGTAAATCCCATTGATTCAGTTAGTCTTCTCCAGTTGAGACTAGCAAATGGATTTAATCCATTGCCATTTTCAGTTATTGTTTTTACATTTTTTGTCAAGGCACTAGCAATCAGAATGTAGCTCAGTCCTATAGATGTTTACTCAGCAGAAAATAGTCTGAGTCCAGTATAGGATATTCCCTAGTCAGTGTATATAAAACCAGCCATCTTGGTTAGTTGTTTATTCAGGTGTTTCCAATAATGTATATTCAAGCCATTCTGCAATTTCTACACTTTTTTCACCGTTGCAACTGTATGGCCAACACACTTGTCCTTTCCCTTTGGGAAAATAACTGCACCCGTTTTGGAGGGGAAATCTGCTGAATGCAGGGCAGATGAAAGCAATTACTGAAACAGCATTTGGTTCTCCCTTTGTTGTCTAACAATAGCCATTCATTATTAAACATTGTGACAATTAGTTGGAAAAGCATCATTTCATCATTCCAAGTATAAATGTGTCCACATGAAATAACACATTCTTTTGCAGGATGTGAACAGAATCTTGATGGATCCAAAATTATAAACCTTCATTCATGGTTCAGGATGTCCCACTGAGCTAGTTGAGGACTAACACTGAGTGCCTTGTCTGATGGAATGACTGCTTAGAAAACAGATGTACAAATGCCCACCCACATATGGAGCTCATCTTCATGCAATAGTTTTCCCATTCCTTTTTAGTGCAGCAACACAACCTCACATGTGCATGATGAGTGGTTAAGTCTCTATTCCAAGAGACATGTCAATTTGTATTTGGGTAAAATGCCACCACTCTTTTGAATGTTTGTCTAAAGTAGAGGTGAACTTATGTGGACTGCATTTCCCAGCATTTCTTATCATTGGCTATGTTAAATTAGCTTCAGCACTTGCAGCCCAGCAATAGTTGGAAGGCCCCATGAGTCCCACCCCAGTCCAAAGAGCTGTTCAGATGAACATGCAATTACAGTCTATTCACTGAATATATTCTCAGCATACTTGTAACCCTCACTCTTCAGTTGGCCATGTACCCAATGTTTGTTAGAAAGGAGTCTGTACCAAATTTGTTTAACCTTTGCTGAGTGGGGGCTTAAATCTTGATTTCTGAAATCTAGCATATTTGAGTACTGTAGTAAGTATGATTCCCTACCCTCTGCTTAAATAAGTCAATAGGTTGGCAAATCATAACCATAGGAAGGAACTTTGACCCTCTCAAAATGTCACTTCCCTAATTAATTTTTTAAACAGGTAGACTTTGTGAGTTGGAATGATGGCACCTGTCAATAAATTCACGGGATCAAATGGCCCAAAGAAAAGAACGCAAACTTCTGGTGCATTTTTTCAGTCCTGAAATACTTGTTCATATTTTGCAATAAAAAAATAATCTTAACTAGCACATGGAATAATAATCCCCCCACTTCAGCAGCACTTTGTGTGTGTGTGTGCAATCATTTTTTTAAAAAAAAAAATAGTCCAGTTTGAAAATTGCAACAATATGGCTCCTATTTTTTTCATGTTGCCCATTTGAGGATAAATTCACCTTGTCTATAATCCTTTGGTTTCTTATCAAATGAAAAAGAAACCAGAGCTATTTAGATTACTATTCACGGAATCCTGTATACAAAATACTTGGCAACCATGTAGTCAGCAGAGATTTGGGGAATGATAGTCCCCCGCCCCCCAAAAAAGTAATGTTTCCAAACTTTACAAAAGACTGGCTGAATAAGTGTAATCTACTAACACATCTTCCCAAAGGAGACTCCTCCACCATGTCTTGGCATGCTCTGGGATCAGTTTTTAAATCTTTTAGCTGCTGTTTTGTGTACGTGTGCATTTCCGAGGGGCTCTGGCTCCTCAGTCGGTAACTGGGTTTCCCTTTCCTCCTACAGAGCTTGCACTAGCACTCATTTATCTCAGAATGCAAATCTCTCCCTGCCTTCTACTCAAAGCCTCAACATCAAGTCAGAACCTGTTTCTCCTCCTAGAGACCGTACCACCACTCCCTCGAGATACCCACAGCACACGCGCCACGAGGCGGGAAGATCCCCTGTTGACAGCTTGAGCAGCTGTAGTAGTTCCTACGATGGGAGCGACAGAGAGGATCACCGGAACGACTTCCACTCCCCCATTGGACTCACCAGACCTTCGCCGGACGAACGGGAAAGTCCCTCTGTGAAGCGCATGCGGCTCTCTGAAGGATGGGCGACATGATAACATTATTAGCTTATTAGAGGTTTTTTTCCTTGCAGTGTGTGTGCGTGTGCGTGTGTTATACCTTAATGGGGAATAGGGAGGGAGGGAAGGGTCAATATGCATTCTATGTGCTGTGTGTGTGGGGAAAAAAGTCAGGTACTCCGTTTTGTAAAAGTACTTTTAAATTGCCTCAGTGATACCATATTAAAGATAAACAGCAGTGGCTGAGATAAGCTTCGCACTTGAGTTGTACAACAGAACACTTGTACAAAAATAGGTTTTAAGGTTAAACTTCTTTTCACTGTTGTGCTCTTTTGCGAAATGTATGTTACAATAGGTAGTGTCATGTTGCAGGTTCAACGTTATTTACATGTAAATAGACAAAAAAAAAATAATAAAATAAAATAAAAGGAAACATTTGCCCCATGCGGCAGATCTTTACTGAGAGAGAAAGCAGCTGTTATGCAACATATAGAAAAATGTACAGACATTTTTGGGAGACCCAGAAATTGAGTGACCAAGAAGAAGAAGGAGAAAAGAATAAAAGAATCTCGGTCACCTATTGCACCTGAAATTCTCGTAAATGTGTTGGCATATCGTTGGAGTATGGCACTCAGTTAAATGGCACCAAAACATTTAAAAGAGAACCATACTTGTAAAAAAAAATAAGTTTTAAGGTAAACCTATTTAATTTTTTAAAAAATTCTGGGTCTGCATCACTTATTAAATAAAAATATAAAAATATGTAAATTACATTTTTCCTTATTTTCATATCAAAAAAGTAAGACAGAGTTTGCAAAGCAGTGTGGCTTTTTGTAGTCTACTTAAGCCAAAATGTGGAATTTTTCCCCTTTATAAGCTTCGCCAATATTTTAAACAGCCCTGAAAGAAACAAAGGGGACTTTTTTGTATAGAAAGCACTACCCTAAGCCATGAAGAACTCCATGCTTTGCTAACAAGATAACTGTTTTCTCTTTGCAGAAGTTTTGTTTTTGAAATGTGTATTTCTAATTATATAAAATATTAAGAATCTTTTAAAAAAATCTGTGAAATTAACATGCTTGTGTATAGCTTTCTAATATATATAATAATTATGGTAATAGCAGAAGTTTTGTTATCTTAATAGTGGGGGAATTATATTTGTGCAGTTGCACATTTAAGTAACTATTTTTTCCTTTTGTTTTCTTCTTCTAATCTACATTTTACAGAATCAATCAATCAGCTGTTGAAGGCTAATCTGCAAAAGATTAGAATTTTCCCTTCCCATAGCAGCCCACATAATCCTAACATACTTGCAGTCAATTTTGAGATGCATTGTAGATACTGATCAGCTCCATTATAAGCAGTCTGACCATTTGATCATATCTAAGGCCCTTTTCTTACATAATTGATGTCTTGCGTATCTTGCGGTTTTTTGCTATTTAGATCACAACTCGGCTTGTTCCTTCATCTTATCAATGTAACAAAAGTGGCATCCTTCTCTGATTTTGTTTAGATAAATTGGGAAAGTCCCATATTCCCCAAAATATGGATGTGTGGTAGCATCCTTGAAGGTGAAAATCTAGTGAGAACGTACCACAAAATAGAAATCCCCAAACCAAAACTTTTCTACCCCAAAATTATTCATTATTTCAGATATCCAGGTGAGCTAGTTCTTAATAGAGACCATATCTGATAATTCAGACACAGTCATGGGGACAAGGATTGCATATAGTGTCAAAACCATAAGTTCTAAATCTCAGGGTGACCATAAATTTTGGGCTGCTTATGCCTGAAAGCTGATTCACGCTTGCATGTAGATCACTTCCAGCACAATCATATATATGTTTACTCAGAAGTAAGTCTCATTGAGTTCAGTGGGACTTATTCTCAGGTAAGTGGGCACAGGATTCCAGTTTGGATCACTCACCAGTTTGCTGCTCAAGCACACAGAGCTGAATAGAGCGAGCCTTTCCACTGAAAAATACTGGGTTTGAGTTGACACTTCTACGTAGTCTGATGTTATCAAAATGTGTTGAATTATAACAGCAGATATTTTAACCCTATCCCACTACTCCACATTCCATTAAAGGAGAGTATAGTTGAGTCACTTTGTAGAACATAGTTACAAAATACGTCCTTGTGTTGCAATTGGTTTCTGACAGTTTCTGTATGAGATCACTAATATCTTCATAGATCTCAGGGTTTTATGTAACAAGGTAAACCCATAGATTGCAGATAACCATTAGACAACAGTTATTCTGTACTGCTTTTGAACCTATTATTTTTTCCACACATAGAGGGAAAATCAATGTAGGTTATGTCGATAATAAAAACGACCCACAAGGATTAGTTTGATCAACTACTCTCCATGCACTGTCACTCGATTTCCAACTGCAGACTCTTAAGTCTGTTTTAAATATATATATCTCCCTAGTTCAGTACATATTCTATCACATAATGTGTTTAGTAATTATAGAACTGCACTGCATAAAAAGCTGTTTGTTCCAAAGGCCTCTTTCCCTTATTGATTTATTACTGAATTTTGAAGGCAAAGGTCACCAAGAAGAGTGGTGAGAAGCCCTTTTCCTGCTTGCAGGTGTGTGGACATGGTCTATGCTTTCTCAGCACAGTGTGAGAGGCATTCTTGTATTGATAACAGCCTTGAGCACTTGAAACCAGAAATCTCACATTGAGAAGACATCCTAGGCCCCAGTCCTGCGGAGCTGAGTATCCTGTGAAGGTCTGGAAGTGATGCAATACATTTTATTGTTTAGGAAGGAGGAGGGGTCAGAAATATGACATGGGTGATATTTGAGTAATTTTGAATCTTTCAGTGAAATCAGCCAATGGCTCCTGTAGATGCTGTTCCCAACATTGCTCTACCTTCCATTGCCAGTATAGAAAAGAGTTGAGAGGCTGGAGGAAAAACTTGGAAATGATACCTGTTGAATTATAATGCTCAGAATATACCAATTGGTAGGACCAGTGGAAATTTTGGGAGCCGTAATCTAAACATGTAACTTCCCAAAGCTCTGAGTATAGGATTGCCTGACCAATATTTTGTCTGTACATTACTGGTTAGTCCACTATAACATCCCAGAACCAATGCAAGAATCACATTGTGAATTTTGTCCAGCCTATCTATCTGGCATTGTACAAATTTCAGTGTGCACCCTATTTTCAACTGAGAAATGTGAAAGGTTATGTTTGGTGGATTACACTTGCCACTAACAGTTATTAGATCCAGTTCATTCTTATGGACCATCAGAAATAAGCATGAGGAATATAGGTGAAAGTTGCCATGATTCCCATTTTATTGTTATTACACAATACTATCTGCAAATGTGCATTTGTACTTGCATATCTGCTTCCTACCTATAGCTTGGAGTTTTGTGATGTGATGCTGACTCTAGCGGTCACTTTGACCCATCCTAAGTATTTATTGGCTGGCACAGAAAATCTTAGGAGCATGCTGAGACCAGCTCACTATCACACATATTTGTGATAGAGATTTTTTTTTTTTTTGCTTTAATCAAGCATCCCTCCTGTAGGTAACTGAAAAAAGATACGCACACATTAGAAGTGAGAATGGGGCCTGCAGCAAACTAAGTTTACAAATTATTTCGCTCATCTAGACATTTACCAGTACCCACCTTCTCCATTTGACAACTTTGATGTGTCTTAAATATGCAATATGTCACAATTGTACCTTGTCATTTTTTAAAGAAGAGAGAGAGAGAATGAATGTTTGGCTTATCAGGATTTTTCAAAGGAAACTGTCATTGGAGTTGGTAAAATCAGTGATCTGACTTTGAAGAATAGCCATATGACTAGTCACCTTACACATGCCTCGGTACAAGGAAAAACACACCCTTGAGCTTCTGAAGGGGAGCTGAAACGTTATGTTAGATACCACATTGTACCTACACACAAGTAGGTGCAATGGAAGCAAGCTCATATAATGAGAATAGGAAATCTCTTGCAGTTATGACCTTCATTTTTTTAATACAGCCACAAAGTTGAATCATGTAAAAATGAACACCCGCGTCCCTATCCCTCCTGCTACTAAGCTAAAGTGCGGGGGCAAGGAGGTTGTGGGTCAATTCATAATTGTAAATGGGGTTAATGAATAAAGAAGCACAACTTTTAATTGTGATGTCGCTTTCTAGAACCTTTAGCTGTCTTTCATGTTCCTTTTATCCGTACCTTAACCAACTGTTGCATTTGCAAAGATACTTTTTGGGGCTTATTGTGTGGTTCCTTTATATTTAAGCAGTTTGGGGCAGCGCCCTGAAAGAGTATGAAGATTTTATTCAACCCAAGCCGTGCAAAGTTGGAGACAAAAATGAGATACACCTTGAGGGGTATCTCTTCCCATCCTTGAGGGCACTAAGCTGACCTTTTTTTTTTTTGGAAAGGGCTTGTTCATGAGGTTATTAAACCTAATAAAGAAGAAGTAAATAATTGCTGGTGACAATGATATGATACATGCCAGCCTTCCTTCCATTACCCAGAGCCCTCCAGATATTCTTGACTACAATCCCCATCATCCCTGTGCTGGTGGCAGCGAGTGTGAGTTCTGTTCTAAGGCATCTGGAGGGCGCAATGTGGGGAGGGAAAGCTGAAATAAACAATCTGCACAAATTTGTATGTTGTATGCATTGATGCCTTTCCCGGTGAAGCTTTTATATATATAAAAAAAAACAAAATCAGTGTTTTTTAAACTTTTATTTGTAACCAAATGGTTTCTATTTTCCCCAGAAGTGGAATTTAAATTTTTTTAATGATTACTATAAAGATAATCTGCCGTTTCTCTGAGCTTTTTTTCAGGCAAAGCTTAACAAAAAGAATAAAACAACTGCTATGCTGTTTTCAAGAATGTCAATAACCCCTTTGGATTGTTTGCCTTTGTCATAGCCTATCTACCCATCTTCCTAGTAGACACAACAATGTGGTTTTGTTTTTTTTCTCTTCTCCTTTCCCCAGAAGGCAAATGCTTTGTCTTTGTTTCCCAAAAAGCCACTTGAAACCTCAATAAAGGCTGTTGCTTAAACACAGCATACTCTCATCTGCTCCCATTTTATGCCATCTGCAATGACGTCCTCGCTTCTGTGGCCTTCATTTCCTGCCATTCTAACATCCCTTGAAGGATTGATGGAACATTAGTGTTGGTTGAGAATGCTTCACTGTCACACTAATAATAGGCTCTTGTGAATATATTTTAACCAAAGATGTGGAACAATCCAAGGACTGAATTCTGTAGTGTGTGCATCAAATTATCATGAATATAACCAGAGTTATAATGATGCAGTCCGTTTTTGTACCTTGGGTTAATCCATACCTCGATTTGAGTCAAAGAGGTTATCTTAATGGCATACAAAACTCACAGGATTGTGGTCTTCTGAGGGCACATCCAGACAGCCCCTTTAATGTGAGAGTTCCCCTGGTCTGTAATGAATTAATTTGTTAGTGGGTTTATTCTACTTCCGGTGTTTGGACTGCAGTCCAGACAGTATTTCCATGGTTTTCCAGTCTAAATTAGCCCAGAAAACTGTGAGAATACCAATCTCCTCTCCAAAAGACCCCAAAAGCACTGGAAAAAGAACTTACCTGGCCTCCATTAGAGGGCTGCTGGAGCTCTTCTGACGCATACAAATGAAGCACCAGAAGAAAGGAGAGGAGGAAGAAAATTGCTCCTGCCCCCCCCCCCTTTCTCCTGGTGTGTCATTTCTACATGCCAGGAGAGCTCCAGCAGCCCTCTAATGGAGGCAGGGTAAGTTCTTTTGAGTTTTTTCCAGTGCTTTTGGGGACTTTTGGAGAGGGGGTTATAGTGTCTGGGTATTCTTCCAAAAAGTTCTGGGAGAACATCTGGACACGCACTCCAGAAAGCATGCACTTTCTGGGGGGGTGGGTGTGGATAGGGGCCCAGGAACATCCACATTTTTAAAACACAGATGCTCCTGGGATAAAGTGCTGTGTGGAAGTGCCCTGAGGAGCCAATAAAGCAGCCCTGAGTTGAACCATAAAGCATTTGACTTGGATTGCTTCAGATTATTTACCTCCAAAATAAATTCCAGGACAAGAGCACTTTGTTTTAATGAAATCATTTATAATTGAGATCTCATCCTGTACATGGGGGCATACAAGCATTTTGCAAGAAATGTTTCACTTTAGAGGCTCACAGCGGCATAAGCTGGACTTTGTCGTCACTAGATGACAAGACATTATAAACTAAGTTAAAACATCTGTATATCTCAAGAGACTTAATTCAGCTGCTTGTAGTGAATATAAAATAAAATGGAAAAATTTCAAATGTTTCTCCTGTTGGAAATAAGGTATAATTTGTATTTTGGAGCCGAATCAGTAAAGTTACTGGCTTTCTCAGTGACTCAGTGTCTCTGGTACATTTTTTAAAAGTAAAATAATAAGCTGCTCATCATCTTTCACCATCCCTCTATATTCATGTTAGTCATAGCAGGCATAAAAACGTGCTTGTAACTTTGAGGCATGTAGAATATCAAGAGAGAGAAGTAGTATTGCAAAACATAGAAAAGTTACTATTTGGGGGGCTACAACTCCCAGAGATTCCATGCCAGCATGATCAATATTCATGAAGGTTAAGGGTTTCTAGAAAGTATAGCCCAAAAGTGTGATATTTCCAAACTCAAGAGGCCATTGATCTTCCTTTCTATCCATGTAAGGCGGTTCACATCATTTCTTAAGATGTGAACCTCCTTACATTTGTTCAAAATCTTTCAGCTTTTTTTCCTATACTGCATGCAAGATGTCAGATATCGGTAACACTTTTGTAACTCAGGCCCAAGGATTGATCTGGGATGCACTATTGAATCTTAGTAATAGCAATGCTAGAACAGTGTGAAGAAGATATATCTTTCCTGCAAGATACAGTGTTTCTAGTTTGGTAAATTTTTAACATAGCACCCATTTAAAAAGTTCTCAGGGAAGCTTACGGTATCAATAAAATATATCAACCATAAAAAACAAAATTCAAGCAGCAGAGATTCACATGGGAACATTTAGGGTAAGTGTCCTAATTTCAACAGATTTTTAAAAGTTTATGGGAAATTTTAAAAGGGGAAATAGAAAACTTATTTGCCAATATTGAAGTATCCCCAAAGTAGGCATCAGGTGAGCCTTTCTAGGAGAGAATTCTTGTGTTGGAATTCTACTGTCACAAAAGACTTCTTACGTATCCAGCTTCTGCAAGTTACTTGGTGGAAACAAGTGGAGTGGGCTTCTGAAGATGATGTCAGCATCTTAGCAGGCACATACGCGATGAACCAGTTCTTCAAGTAAACTGGTTGCAAGCTTCAAATGTCAATGGCAGCCCAGAATGGAATGGTTTTGGTTTCAAACTCAATTCACTTCACTCATGTCATCACCATATCATTTTCTGTTGCGGGTTCTGTAGCTCAGTGTCCCAATCTGGCACGGTCTTTGTTATAATGGTGTGGGTCATTTTGCCACTTCTAACTCACCAAGCATTCTAAAATACATCAGTTTCCCACCAGTTTCTATTTCAAAATGGTCAGCTGATGTGACATTGTCACTTCCTGTCACCATTTTGAAGGGTAAAAGAACAAGAAAACAATGTATTTAAGAAGTGTTGGGGTTTTGGAAAATTGGGGAGGCTGGGGGAGGGATTTTTTTGTGATTGCATAAATTTGGGGCTAAGAAGTGGTGGGTGTGGTTTTGTTTTTGGTTTGTTTTGGGGGTTTTTAGTCAGATTTCCTCAAAGAATTGTGCCAAAAACTTGGGAGTGGGGGAGCTCTGGAGAACTTGTGGGTTCATTCAGAACCAAAAAATGGGCTGCAGGGTCACACACACAAAGGCTGCATTTTGTCCTCCTATGGACTTGAAGTTCTGAAATAGGTTTAGTACCATATTTGTGACAGGGTTTAGTACCATATTTGTGACCAATTAGCTGCAACTCTTTCTTTCCTTAAAATGTGCTCTGAACTGGCAGCCAAGGACTTAGGTACCAGCACTAGAGCAAGCATCACCACTTTTTATAGAATTAGTCTGAATGGTCCATCCAACGGAATTATTATTTTACTTCATGTTTTATCTTTCATTTTCTCTCTCCTTCTTCCACACCTCCCTAAGGAGATAGGGCACAGCAGAAAATATCTGGTATCTATTTGCTTTCACCTACACGCTCATTCTGTTTTCAACTGGTTCATCACTGCCCAGCCTGATACATAACAAGACCATATAACATTCTCTTGTAAAATAGGACTCTTTATGTAACTTTATCCTATATTTATTTATTTATTGTGAGTTGAAGGGGGGGGAGGTGAGGAAAGTAGTCTACCTCTCTGCTTTCTCCGTAGCTTAACACCCCTAAGAATAATAGTACTAGGGTCCTGGAAATGATGCTTAGAACTGGTATATCATCACATGTGAGATATTAGTGTGAAAGAATGGTGGGTTCTCGTTTCTCCAACTTAAACATAATGCTGCAAAGTCTGGGGTGGCCATTTTTGCAGCAATAATTGAAGTCCATCCTCCTTTGATCCATCTTTGATGACCAAATAGCTAAAATATGTTTTCAGATCTCTGTCTTCCAACATTCCAATGCTCTATCAGCTGCCAGCAGTTCACTTACTCATGATGCACTGGACATACATTTAAAGCTGCTATGTGAAACAATGGGATTTAGTATGGTAACCATACTTGACCAAATCCTTTGAGGGCATGAGTGCTTAAATACTGGTGTGCAGCAGTGCACCAACCACTGAATCTCATTACCTAGCCCAACATTATATTTTGTATCTGGATGTCACTAATGACATGCACAACACACTGTGATTTCAACGAAAAGGCAATGGCCAGCACACTGGCCCTAATGGACTGTGTAGGTAGCCAGTTATCAAAAAGGGAAACATAATGTAGAAGCAAATGTGTGACTGACACCAGCCTGATGTCACCTAAGTTCTCATACACACATTTAAAAAACCCTTTCTGCACTGACATAGCTGGCTGTCTTTACTATTTCATCCTTCCATGTCTCCACAGGCCTACTGCCATTGGGCCTGGTGTAAATGCTACCTCTGGTGCCAGTGATCTGAAGTGCTCCATCTATGTATGGGAAAGTGCATCCACTAAGCTGTTGTCTACTCTAGTCACATAGAAAGCCATGAAAAATAGATTACCATATTTCTTCAATTCTAAGATGCCACTTAGAAAAAATGAACACTAATTTCAGTATCACCAACGGGGGGAAAAAACCTTTTATTTATATATAAGAAAAACATCCATGATTCTAAGACACACCCCATTTTTAGATATTTTTATATGGGGGGAAAGTGCATCTTAGAGTGGAGAATAACCATCCTGGCCAATCTCATAACTCTGGGGGCACTTAGATATAAAGGGATCAGTGTTCTGCACAATGGCCCTTATTCTCACAACAAAAGTAGACACCAAAGTTGCCCACTTCTTCACCTATATCCTTATAGCTACTAATATAGGAAACAATTCTTCAAAGGTTAAATCCATTATTATCCCTGCTTCTATCCATTTTGCAACTACAATTCAGCATGCCACCTCCCTCAGAAATACATACAGAAGTTCACAGCTGGTTGCACCTAATGTGATTTACAATGCATTCCTGAGCCTGTTCTCCTTTCACCAAGAGATGACTCCGTTAAATGTCCCTAAAATGCCAGCCACATATCTAAAGCTTCTCTAATCCACTTTATAAATTGAATCCTATGATGGGGCCTGCTCACTTCCAAACAGTACCATTGGAGAGACATAGAAAGGACCTGCCAGGTGCTACCACTTCACCAACAAACTTTAAAGGCCTTATGAGTTCTTGGAATTCCCTAAGATTTGCTTTTCAAGATGTTATAAAAGGCAACACTCTACTTCTAAAATCCTGTATCTTATCCCTCAGCAATCTAGAGAACTGGTTGACCATATCAATTTCAATGCCTAAAAACACCCATTGCTGGTCAGGATCTTTGGTCTTTCCAGAGGTCAGAGAAACTCTTGGCTTCTCAGGTGGCACAATGGATTAAACCCTTGTGCT